AGCTGCACGTGGTGGCCGCGCGGCCCGGGACGCTGCCATTTTTGCCCCTCCACTTCCGGACGCGGCTATAGGGCGTCGGAGGGGGACCGCAGGATGGCGGGGGTGCCTGCTCGGGTGACTCAGCACGGCCCTGTGGGGACTGGCTTTGCCACCTCTCTTACCGGACGCGTTGTTAAAGTCGCCTTGGGTGCTTTGTTTCTGTGAGGGTTCATGGTGTGGGAGGAGAGCTTTCGGTCTCCAGCACCCCATACTCCCTCGTTCCAGATCTTTCTTGCAGTCCCGGTGGAGGAGGGGCGGGGAGGGGGGCAGGTTCTGGAAGATTCATGGGCTCCCTCCTCCGCCCATCCTCTAGAGCTGAGATTGTTCTGGAAGCTTCTGGATTCTGGCGCCCCGCCCCAGTGCCCGGATGCTGGGGCGAAGGAGGGTGCACGGCGGCGCCCCCTCCTCGCGTGGTCCCTGCCGACGCATGTCCGGCAGTGACGAGTGTCGGCCTGGTGGTTAACGGCCACCATCTTCCTTGTGTTGGGTTTGGGCCTGTTCTGTAATTTTGTCCTGTGAAGGGGTCGTAGTGGAGCTTTTGGCTTATCGATTCTTTGTCCGGATTTAATTGCCCCTCGGGCGGGTATCCTCTGGATCCCAGGTTATTCCTCCCTGCAGTGTGGGGTAGGAGTGTCCCGCCCTTGGGCTGGTCTTAGGAAGACATCTCAGGGGGAGCAGTTTAAAGTTAGTGCCAAACTAGTTACTTTGATCTCCAAATGAAGAACTGTAGGTAGTGATTTTCACATTTAAATTTGTGTAAGGATTATCTGGGATCTCTGGATACCTGGGTTGGACCAGCATTATGAGTTTCTGCCATACTACCGGATGACGCTGAGCCTGCTGTCACCACTCCTAAGTAGCTGGGTTCTGTGACATTTGGTTGAAGAACATTCAGCTTATTTTCTTTTTCCTTCTGAATTTTCAGGCTTCCCACTTAGCATGTAGCCTGAGATCTTTTAAGAGAATGCTTTTTCAGTCTTTTCGGAAGGGATAGTACTCAGGTCAAACCAGTCTCAACTCTTAAGGTCCTAACAAATGAGATGACCTTTAGGATTTTAAAATATGAGGCCTTCATGTTTTGTAATTAATGATAATTTTTATTTTAGATGCCTGAGGAAGTGCACCATGGAGAGGAGGAGGTGGAGACTTTTGCCTTTCAGGCAGAAATTGCCCAACTCATGTCTCTCATCATCAATACCTTCTATTCCAACAAGGAGATTTTTCTTCGAGAGTTGATCTCTAATGCTTCTGATGTAAGTGCTCTGGTTTCTATATTTGGTGTGTTTATTTTTTTTTGACACTCTTCGAAGAGAGGAAAGGAGTGGTGGTTTGGCCTTTGTTGGGGACTACTATTGAAGGGGGTAAACTTGCAACTATTCCAAAAAGATTTGTCTTACTCTCTGGCCATCTTGAACTTGAAAGGGAAGGGACTATGTCCAGAAAAAGTGGGCTCATGTAACTAACTGTAGTTCTAAAGCCTCAAGATAAGGGGCAATCAGATTTGAGGCTGAGAGAGGTAAACCAAGATTTTCTTTGAAGACACGGGGTTTAAGAAAGCAAAAGTGAGCGAGCGTGTTGACTCACACCTGTAACGGCAAGGCAGGATCACTTGAGCCTAGGATTTCGAGGGCAGCCTGGGCAACAGCCAGACCTTGTCTCTGCAAAAAATTAAATATTAGTTGAGCACAGTGGCATGTGCCTGTAGTCCCAGCACAGAGGCTGGGGTGGAGGATGGCTTGAACCAGGGAGGTCAAGGCTGCAGTGAGCTGTCATCCTTGCTACTACTGCACTGTAGCTTGGGCAACAGAGCAATTGCCTGTCTTGGAGAGAGCAAAAGTAAGTTGCTGTTTGTATTCTTTTCAGGCCTTGGACAAGATTCGCTATGAGAGCTTAACAGACCCTTCGAAGTTGGACAGTGGTAAAGAGCTGAAAATTGACATCATCCCCAACCCTCAGGAACGTACCCTGACTTTGGTAGACACAGGCATTGGGATGACCAAAGCTGATCTCATAAATAATTTGGGAACCATTGCCAAGTCTGGTACTAAAGCATTCATGGAGGCTCTTCAGGTACTGCAGTTCTGTAGGCATACACCATTTATATTCATCAGTGTTCTTTATTTTTTTGCTGCTTTAAATTTTGTGTTTGACTTTTAAAAAAACTTGTTGGCAGGCTGGTGCAGACATCTCCATGATTGGACAGTTTGGTGTTGGCTTTTATTCTGCCTACCTGGTGGCAGAGAAAGTGGTTGTGATCACAAAGCACAACGATGATGAACAGTATGCTTGGGAGTCTTCTGCTGGAGGTTCCTTCACTGTGCGGGCTGACCATGGTAAGTTAGCTTTTCTGTTACAAGGTAGCTGGGTTAGAGTTTTGTGGGCTCACCAGTAGCAGAAATTTTGAGCATCCTGTCAAGCAGTTCTTCATAGCAGTTCGTCTAATACTTTATTAATTTGGTGAAGTCTCAACTGCATATACTTTCGCCCTGTTACACGCTTGTGATTGACTCTTCTAGGTGAGCCCATTGGCAGAGGTACCAAAGTGATCCTCCATCTTAAAGAAGATCAGACAGAGTACTTAGAAGAGAGGCGGGTCAAAGAAGTAGTGAAGAAGCACTCTCAGTTCATAGGCTATCCCATCACCCTTTATGTGAGTATGGACTTTTAAACCTTTTACACTTAGCGTGCAGGATGTTTCCTGTTCTGGAGAATCTCGTGGTCCCTGGCTTCTGCTTTTCCTGGTGTTTTGTACTCCAAGGCTAATTTCTGTTTTTGTTACTTAGTTGGAGAAGGAGCGAGAGAAGGAAATTAGTGATGATGAGGCAGAGGAAGAGAAAGGTGAGAAAGAAGAGGAAGATAAAGATGATGAAGAAAAGCCCAAGATCGAAGATGTGGGTTCAGATGAGGAGGATGACAGTGGTAAGGATAAGAAGAAGAAAACTAAGAAGATCAAAGAGAAATACATTGATCAGGAAGAGCTAAACAAGACCAAGCCTATTTGGACCAGAAACCCTGATGACATCACCCAAGAGGAGTATGGAGAATTCTACAAGAGCCTCACCAATGACTGGGAAGACCACTTGGCAGTCAAGGTGAGAAGCCTTTGCATGTTGGGTCAACATGCAAATATGGAGAGGAATAAGTGGAAGAGTGTTGGCAGGTAATAGACACATGGAACGTGTCCAGCTGATAACAGAAATGTGAGAGCCATGTATTTTCACTTACTGATTACCCGGTCATAGTGAAGTGCCATCCTTCCTAATGACCTCACTTTCTCTAAAGGAAATCTGGGTAATGTCTGTTGGCAGCCTTACACATCCAGGGTTCTGATCAGAGCGGACTGTTTTCTGTATACAGCTAGTATTCGTCTAGATCGTTGAGGGCATTAAGGCTCAGTTTTCTTGGGAACTGCCTGTGTGTACGCTCTATCCGTTAGGCTTAGGGAGGATCATTCTTCCATTTTTAGGTAATTTGGTGTTGGGGCTAAAAGGCCCTCTTTTGAAATGTATCACTTGCTTATTTTTTGGTTTTTTCCAGCACTTTTCTGTAGAAGGTCAGTTGGAATTCAGGGCATTGCTATTCATTCCTCGTCGGGCTCCCTTTGACCTTTTTGAGAACAAGAAGAAAAAGAACAACATCAAACTCTATGTCCGTCGTGTGTTCATCATGGACAGCTGTGATGAGTTAATACCAGAGTATCTCAGTGAGTATTTCCTTGGCCTAATTTAGTTGGGTGAAGTCTTGGGAGGTTTTCGGCATTCTGCCAGAATATCCTAGGTTAAGGATTTTCTGCAATGCATAGTAAGTATAAGGGTTTAGGAGGCTATTAGAGCCTTCTGTTTGAATCTGGGTACCAGCTCTGGTCTAGCTATTTTTACTGAGCTTTCTCATCCTGGTTGATGGCAGATTTTATTCGTGGTGTGGTTGACTCTGAGGATCTGCCCCTGAACATCTCCCGAGAAATGCTCCAGCAGAGCAAAATCTTGAAAGTCATTCGTAAAAACATTGTTAAGAAGTGTCTTGAGCTCTTCTCTGAGCTGGCAGAAGACAAGGAGAATTACAAGAAATTCTATGAGGCATTCTCTAAAAATCTCAAGGTAAAGAGGCAAATGCTTATTCCCTTTACCACTTTCTTAGTAATTACTAACAAATTTTTCCATTCACATAGAAAGTGAATTGTAGTTAAGTTGGATTGTTTTTTCTCTTCCCACCCTTCAAGCTTGGAATCCACGAGGACTCCACTAACCGCCGCCGCCTGTCTGAGCTGCTGCGCTATCACACCTCCCAGTCTGGAGATGAGATGACATCTCTGTCAGAGTATGTTTCTCGCATGAAGGAGACACAGAAGTCCATCTATTACATCACTGGTGCGTTGGTTCTGATGGAAGCCTTTTTGGAGGAGTGGGGAGCACATTTCAGGGCTACCTAGGAACTGGCAGTATGAGGCATTTTAGTCACTGAGTCCATTTAATTACCCTACAGGTGAGAGCAAAGAGCAGGTGGCCAACTCAGCTTTTGTGGAGCGAGTGCGGAAACGGGGCTTCGAGGTGGTATATATGACCGAGCCCATTGACGAGTACTGTGTGCAGCAGCTCAAGGAGTTTGATGGGAAGAGCCTGGTCTCAGTTACCAAGGAGGGTCTGGAGCTGCCTGAGGATGAGGAGGAGAAGAAGAAGATGGAAGAGAGCAAGGCAAAGTTTGAGAACCTTTGCAAGCTCATGAAAGAAATCTTAGATAAGAAGGTTGAGAAGGTAAGCCATTCTGGAGCTTAGGGTATATTTTGTAACATACCTTTGAGGTGGGCTCCCTCACAATCATGTTGCTACACAATTAGTGGCTTGAGGCACCCTATTTACTGTTTGGAGCCTTGCCTCTTGTTCTTTTCCCTAGCCAGGTTTAAGGCTATTTTAATAAAATTTGGCACAGATTAGGCATTGCTTCAGTTAACTTGTGAGAGTAGATAAAATATCATTTTCTTTTTTTTTTGGACTGGATCTCAGCTCACTGCAAATTCAAGTCTCCTGAGTGGCTGGGATTACAGACATGTGCCACCACACCCGGTTAATTTTTTGTGTATTTTGTAGAGATAGGGTTTTGCCAGGTTGGTCTCAAACTCAAGTGATGGGCCCCACCTCCTTCTCCCCCTGTTGGAATTACAGGCTTGATAGTGTCCGTTTTCTCTTTCAAAGTGGTCACTGATCTAATGCAAATCTAAGGCTTTTGTGATTGTCCACAGGTGACAATCTCCAATAGGCTTGTGTCTTCACCTTGCTGCATTGTGACCAGCACCTATGGCTGGACAGCCAATATGGAGCGGATCATGAAAGCCCAGGCACTTCGGGACAACTCCACCATGGGCTATATGATGGCTAAAAAGCACCTGGAGATCAACCCTGACCACCCCATTGTGGAGACTCTGCGGCAGAAGGCTGAGGCTGACAAGAATGATAAGGCAGTTAAGGACCTGGTGGTGCTGCTGTTTGAAACCGCCCTGCTCTCTTCAGGCTTTTCCCTTGAGGATCCCCAGACCCACTCCAACCGCATCTACCGCATGATCAAGCTAGGTCTAGGTAAGCAGCTTTGGTACTTGATGTGGCAAGGAGTTTGTGCAACTAGGCTCCTGTCTGGATTTGACTTAATGCTATTTAGTCAAGTCTTACATGGCTTAATTTTACTTTAGGTATTGATGAAGATGAAGTGGCAGCAGAGGAACCCAGTGCTGCAGTTCCTGATGAGATCCCCCCTCTTGAGGGTGATGAGGATGCGTCTCGCATGGAAGAAGTTGATTAGGTTAGAAGTTCATAGTTGGAAAACTTGTGCCCTTGTATAGTGTCCCCGTGGCTCCCACTGCAGCCTCAAGTGCCCCTGTCCCACCTGCCTCCCCCTGCTGATGTCTAGTGTTGTTTTTCCTCTCCTGTCCTTGTGTTGAAGGCAGGAAACCAAGGGTGTCAAGCCCCATTCCCTCTCTGACAGCAGGATTGGATGTTGTGTGTTGTGGTTTATTTTATTTTCATTTTGTTCTGAAATTAAAGTATGCAAAATAAAGAATATGCCGTTTTTATACAGTTCTGCTCTCCCTTGTGAAGTGGATGTTATTCTTCCTTAGCTTCTCTATCCCCCCAGCTCTTGCTGTTTTCATGAGCACAGCAAGTTGAGCTGGTTTTGTAGCTAAGAGTGCACACACTGAAGCTAAAGGCAGTTTTTCTGAAAAACTACCATATAGTAATGCCTTTTCAGTCAACCAAAACACAGGACCAAGTCCATTACAGTAATTTAATTTAATAAAATAAAATTATAAGAGCAAAAAGTTACATTTCTAAAGTACCAAAACCTACAACAGGCTCATGGAGCAGAGCCTAGGGATCCAGGAGCATAGGAGGTGGTGGTGCTGGGCAGGGATCTGCATCCCCTTTCCACAACACAGCACCATCTTCACTTCACCCTCCTGGGAAAGCAGCATTGGAGCCTACACCGCTTGTGCTTTTCTCACCAGGGTAAGAAATGCAGGTATTTGCAGAGGGGAGAGAGTCTGGAAGGCAGCATAGCACAGCTAGGGCAAGACTTAAGGAAACTTCTGGGAGGGGGAACTGTGGAACCTACCTATGCCCTCTTGACCCCAAACTCCCCCTCACTGAGGACTGTCTCTACCCTGGGGCACAGAATAAACTGCCTGCTGGAAGATGGGTGACTTAAGGCAAAAGGGAAGGCTGCCTCCTGGGCTCCCCACCCCCTGCTGCAGAGTCTATGATACTGAGAAAACACCTGCATTTTGCCCTTTGAGCCAGCTCCCTCAGGTTACAGTAGGAGAAAATGGTGAGAAGACTATTTCACTTCACCCCTCAGGCCCTCTCCACCCTCAAACCTTCTGCACAGGAGACTCAACAGGCACAGCCTTCTTTCCCCGTTGCTTTAGACGGCCCCGCGCGTAGACTCTGAGCAGGAGGGCAGCAAAGACCACAGCCACTCCCAGCCCTCCCACCACAGTGACAGTGTGGCCATAGAGAAGGCAGGAAAGAAGGATGGCAAAGGCCTGGCGGAGGGTCATGATGATGGTGAAGACGGCAGCCCCGAACTGCCCAATGGTGTAAAAGATGAAGAGCTGGCCACATGCAGAGCAGATGGAGAGTAGCAGGGCATGGGCAGCAAACTCACTGTGTCGCCCCATGAAGCGGGTTCCCTCCAGGAGGGCCCCCTGTTCTAGCAGTGAGCCTACTGTGAAGAGGCAGGAGAAGAAATTGACCCCAAACATCATCTGCACCGATGACATCTTATAGGCAAATAGGGCATCCTGCCAGTTTGAAGTGAAGCTGTCAAAAGCAATATAACCTGCCAGTAAGATGAGGCCTGAGAGTGTGGTGGCCGGAGAGCTGCGGGGCTCTGGTCCGCTGGATAGCAGAAACATGCTGACCCCGATGGAGATGAGGGTGGCTGTCAGGTACTCCCAGTGTTCGTAGCTGCGCCGAGACACAAGCTTTCCCATCAGCATGACAGGGATCACCTTAGAGGCCTTGGCCAGCACCTGGGTGGGGAAGCTGACGAACTTAAGAGCTTCGTATTGGCACCAGCTGCTAAGCACATTGGACAGACTCGCAAAGGAGTACCGGTACATGGGTGCCCCATGCCGGGGCTGCTTGCAGAGGACACAGGAGAGGCCAGCCACAATCAGTGCCAGCACTCGGTTCATTAGCACCAGGAACTGCGAGTCTGTAAAGCGCTCACCCGGTGATGTGGCTGTGGCCCCATAGCTACGGGTCATCACTCTTTCCTGCAGCACACCCCAAGTCAGGTAAGATACCTGTTGGGGAAGGTAGAGGCAAAGGAGACAATAAGCAAGATAATGAAAAGGCAGACAAAAATTGACTTCTCCCTCTTCTTCAGGATGATGCCTAAGTGATTCAAAGGAAAATATACACTTTTTGGTTCCTCTGTAGAAGTTTCTTCTCCCAAGTCTGGGTTCACCTTGTAGGGAATCAACTGTGTGTGAAAAACCAATTCAGGGAGGCAAGAACTCAGAATTGGGTATCTGTAGTTCAACATGATATTCAAGGTAGAACTAGTACCCACTGCAAAATGCCATGGGGCCCGCATCTTAGCACTCTCTCACATGCAGTGCTAGGGGAAGGCTGAATGGCTCCCCCACAATTTTATCAGTGGGTTTACAGTATGTGAGACACCAGTGCAGGAAGGAAGTATAATAACGGCACAGTAGAAATCACAGAGAATAGGGCAAGTCTTCTGCACCAGACATCTCGAAACAACAGTATGAACTTTCAGTACCAGTGCTGGAGAGAAGAGGAAAGAAAAGAGCATTTCCCCCAAACACCTCCAAGATGGAGGTGCAGTGTGCCTCTGGGAGCAGGACACAAAACCCACCAACTAGCAAAGCTCTGGGACTGGTAAAATGGAAACCTTCGCAGAATCCCTGCCCACCGGCATCCAACCCAGGAAGAGAGCCTGAGCCCACCTACCCACCTGGAGTCCTGTGGCACAGAAGAGCAGCTTCAGGGCCTGCCACATCGGGGTGGTCTCTGCCGCCTCTGTTCGGGGCGCCAGGGGAACCTCATCAGAGGCCTTGGGCTCATTGCCAAAGACACAAGCTTTCACCAGGGGAAAGCAGAGGCCCCTACCTGAAGAAAGCACACAAAGTCAAGCCCCAAATCTCCGTGTCACTTCCTCTTCCCCAGAGCAGCCAGCCTGCCCTGCTGTCCGGCCTACCGTCCTCCCGCCCTCTCCAAGTCATATCCCGTTTGGACTGCTGGCCAAATACCCTCCTTCCCGACCTAGCTCACTTCCCCGCCCTTTCTTCACACACCGGTCTCCAGGTAGTTCTTCCGCCTGAAGTACTGCACCAGGAGGTAGCCAGGTACCATAAAGCTGGCATAGCCAGCAGCATTCACCAAAAATCGGAAGAACCATAGCTGGGTCCATGATTCCGGAGGGGCTTCGGGAGTCTCCCCACCCGCCCCTAGGGAGGGGAACGCAGCCAGCACTACCACTGCCCACCACCTGTAAAGAAAGCGGACATAAGCATTAGGGCGCAGTTATCCCCCCCGCCCTCCAGAGGGGACTACACTGGAGTAGTGCCCGGAGTCTCCCCGCCCCCTCCGCTGCAGCTCCGGCCCGGACAAAGAGAGTCTCTCTCTCTCTCTCGAGGGGGGGCGAGGGGACGCCGGCGCTGGCCCGGCAGGGCTTCCTCCCTCCCCGGGGGCGGATCCGCCCCTCTAGCCACACAGGTCTCCTCTGTTCCCTCCAGCGCTAGCCCGCTGCTCAGGCCAGACGCAGCGCCCCTTCCCCCACCCTCCCCTCCACGTTCCCGGGGCGTCAGGGTACCCTGCCCTCCGCCCGAAGCGCTCCCCAAGGAGCACAAAACCAAGCCGCACCCCCTATCCCCACTGGCTCCTATGCTGGCTGACCGCCGAGCAGCCGGGACCCCACCCGGCCCCCCGTGCAGATGTGCGGCAGTCACGTGGCCCGGGGGCTCGGTCACGTGAGCTCACCGCTGCCCTAGCCCCCACCTGACGTCCATGGTCCAGGCCGCGTGGGGTGGAGGGGGACCGGGGAATGCGAGTCCCCGGGCCGCGCGCCCCTGCGCTCCCTCCGCTCCCGCCGCCGCCTCCAGGAGCGGCCAGCGAGCCAGCGGCCAGCGGAAGTGCCGCGCTCTTCCCGCCTCCCTCCCCGCGGTCCCCTCCGCCCCTGCCGCGACCACGCAGCGCCCCGGGCCGCCGCCGGGCCACAGCGCCCCCGCGCGGCCCGGAGGCAGACGCGGCTCGGGTTCCGGGGAGCTGGGCTGCCCCTGGGCGCGGGGAGCGCCAGCCCTGAAGATGCGCCCGTCCGGCGCCTCCCCTGTGCTTCGTCATCGCCTTTGGCCTTCATAAGCGTCCCAGAGGTCATGGTGACCATTGCCATCTTGCGGACAGGACATTGAGGCTCTGCATCCCAAGCCCCTCCTCTGTGTTAGTTTCCCCGTTTTCTGACAGGACGAAGGTGTCTATTTCCTTTGTTGGCTGGGTAGTAATTCTGTCCCCCCACTTCCCATGACTTTCGAGGCTCTACATGGCCTCGCCAGCGTTCCTCGCCCACTCACTCACCCGCTGTGAAGCCCCGCTGGCTTGCTCTCATTTCCTCTAATTCACAGGCCTTCCCCCAAATGCTCTGCCCCCATCCCTTTACTCATCGTTACATCCCAGTTGAGATGATACTCCTCAGGCGGGGTTCCCGGACCACAAAAAGCATAACCCTCTACCGACTCCATCCTTTTCCTTCCCATTATTCTTTTCCTTCCCATTATTCTTTTCCCTTCATAGCACCCACTGCAACTTGTAAGGACATCTTTATTTGGATGTTTATGCTTTTAACGGCTGTCTCCCTCACTGGATGAGTGGTCAGCGACTGTGCTGGTTTATTGCCCCACGCTCTTCATGCCAGCATAGGGCTGACCTAGCAGGGCCCTCGAAGGTGAGGAATGGGAGGAAAAACGTGGACTCAGCTCCCTTGTGCCCAGCCTCCCTGGGTTACCCTTGTCGCCAGGCTCCTCCAGATGGCAGCCCCCAGGGCAGTGGTGAGGGCTCCAGGGCCTGTGTCCTCTCATTCTTCCTCCTCTCCTTCTATCCCTTATCATTTCCACAGCAAGGACAGGGTCTGTGCTGGACACAGAGAAAGGCCTGGGGACTACTGGCCTCTGACCCCACCCAGCAAGGTCCTACCGTGCTCAGGGCACAATTTCCTTCTCTCTACCTCCACGACAAAGCCACAGGGCAGGCCTGTCTAAAAAGCCCCAATGCACACAGACATGCATGCGCACAAAACAGCTCTAGAAGGGAAAAGCTTTTTTTAACATCTCTTGCCATTTTAGTGTCATGTTACTGAAAGTTCCTTCCCCAGTGGCTCAGTTCAGAACCTTCCCTGTGAAGTCTTTAAACAGCAGTGTTTAAGAGTCCTCAACAGCAATAAGATGGGACACCCCTCAGGGTTCTGCTTGCTCCTATTTCAGTCTCTTCTCACTCAGGAGAGTCCATGTTTCCCACTGGTTGGCAGTTTCAGCCTGACCCAACATGGGTACACACAA